GCCCCCCATGACCCTGGTGAGGATGAAGGTGTAGAGATGATGGATGGCCACTTGTCAGTCCTGCTCTCATCATGTGTGTTACACCTGTTTAATGCCACCTGTGCATCCTCACTCCCTCCACAGCAGCTCCTCCATCCCTGATCCTCTGTCACAGGGCACCAAGATGGATTTTCAAGGCATGACCAGAAAGATATTAACAGAGGAGACGCAGAGACGGACATGTGTGACATGAGATGAGCCTGATGTGACACCAGATAGAGAATCCTTTCCTTCATGTGATGTTGTTTGGTAGGACATGAGATCAGCCTCCAGAAAGCAAAAGCTTCTTTAATTTTTATGTTAAATCAGTTATCCTACAATAAATCCCGCCGTTAAAGACCGTTTGTTTTGTTAAATGTTATTTTACTCGGACAGTGAACGTCGCTCGGTTGTGATTTGGACAAACTACAGCACTTTATTTAAACTGCTTCTAGTTAGTGGATCCTGAAGAAACGCTCTCATCTGGTGTGTCCAGCAAAATGACAATAAACTGGATTTAATTTGATTTCTTAGCTACGCAATAAACTGTTAATTTGATGTGTTTGTGCTACGCTGGTGCAGCACAAATCGCGCATAGCGAGCGACGTGATTAACAAACAGCTGGAGCAGCGTCCGAAGGGATGCTGAGCCGAGCTGCTCATTATATAGTCATCACTATGTAGTGATATCTATGTATGATCACTAGGTAGTGATCACTAGGTAGTGATCACTAGGTAGTGATCACTACCTAGTGGTCACTATATAATGATGACTATATAGTGCACTATATAGTGGTCACTATATAATGATCACTACGTAGTGATCACTATGTAGGGAGTAGGGAGTGAGTGGGGGATTCCGGACACAGCTACAGTATCATCAGTATCCTTACTGGTGTTGTTCGTGTTCTGGTCGGTTTTGTTGTTTTGGCCCTCGTGGCCTTCCGTACGTGACACTGAAAGCCTGACAGTCGATCATGTGACGAGCACTTCCGTCCTGCCCGATCAGCTGATTGCATGAAGCGGGGCGTGTTGGCTGGCCAGGGCCTGGTACCAGCTCAGTGCTGCTCATGTCGGACTCTCTGACGGTCAGCAGAACCGACGTCCAGCTGAAGTCGCTCCGCGCTGCAGCCTCTCCACCAGACTCCATTCAAAAATCTGACCATTTAACAGAACCGCCGTGTGGACGTCCAGAACAAACACGTGTGCATGTGTTTAAAAAGCTTTACGGTTCTGATCATCAGTCCGGCGCACACAGTGGTCCGTTTAGTTTGATGTGGTCTTTTCTCATTCTGCTGCTGGAACCAGACCCGCATCTGATCCGGGTTTAAGTTTGGACTTGGTTAGATCCGCTGACAGCAGCTCGCGGCCATGAGGCTGGTCATCCTGGACGACTACGAGCTGGCCAGTGAGTGGGCCGCCAAGTACATCCGCAACAGGATCATCCAGTTCCAGCCCTCTGCTGACCGGTACTTCACTCTGGGCCTGCCTACAGGTGAGTGCTGCTGGAGGGTTGCTGGGCACAGTGTCATGTGTTACTGGTTTGACTGGGATGTGGCCGTCTCTTCCAGGGAGCACTCCGTACGGCTGCTACCAGAAGCTGATCGAGTACCACAGAAGTGGAGATATTTCATTCAAATATGTGAAAACCTTCAACATGGATGAATATGTAGGTGAGTCGGGCCAGGTTCTGGTTCCAGCTCTACTGGGTTTGTCAGCAGCTTATTCAGTGGACTGGTTCTGTAGAGTCGGTGCTCTTCCAACCAGTATCCTCACTCCTAGATGTCATCAGTCTGAAGCTGTGCGTAGAGAGCGCCACCTAGCTGTGAAAAGCTAGACATCATTTAGCGACGGCAGCTTATTTTCATCCTGATTCCTTCAGTCGTGTGTTTGGCCGCGGCCAGGCCTTCAAACAGCCAATCGTCTGCAGCTTTGCTGTGGAGGTGAATTCAGTCGCTGTAATGAAAGCTTGTCTGTCCAGGTCTGCCTCGTGCTCATTCTCAGAGCTACCACTCCTACATGTGGAACAACTTCTTCAAGCACACGGACATCGATCCAGCCAACGCCCACATTCTGGACGGGAATGCAGCGGACCTGGAGGCGGAGTGTCAGGCCTACGAGCACAAGATCGCAGAGGCCGGAGGAATCGAGCTGTTTGTTGGAGGTCAGACACGTGGTTTTAATGTGGATGTCACACCAATACGTTCTTCTCTGGTGTGATGTAAACTTCTGTCCTTTGTCCTTTGTAGGTATCGGCCCTGATGGTCACATAGCGTTCAACGAGCCGGGCTCCAGCCTGGTGTCCCGGACCAGAGTGAAAACCCTGGCAAAGGACACCATCGTAGCCAACGCTCGTTTCTTCAGCAATGACCTCTCCAAGGTTCCCACCATGGCTCTGACGGTGGGGGTCGGCACTGTCATGGACGCCAAGGAGGTCAGATTCACAGGCAGCTCCTGATAATGCGATGTTCTCCAATATAGTCACATGACGACAGCGAGGTTTCCTCCATGATGTGGTCACTGTTTCTAAATGCCTTCGTTCTGCTCAGATCACATATTTAACACACACGCTCGCCATCGTGTGACTCTTGTTGTTCCTACTTTTCTGGATCCGTGTAGCTGCAGGCGTGATGATGTTGTGTTGCTGTGCTCAGGTGATGATTCTGATCACCGGAGCACACAAAGCCTTCGCTCTGTATAAAGCCATAGAGGAGGGCGTGAACCACATGTGGACCGTGTCAGCCTTCCAGCAGCATCCACGCACCATCTTCGTCTGTGACGAGGACGCCACCCTGGAGCTCCGAGTCAAAACCGTCAAATATTTCAAAGGTACCAACAAAAAATACACACACATATAAATATATAAATACATAAATACACACACATATAAATACATAAATACACACACATATAAATACATAAATACACACACATATAAATATATAAATACACACACATATAAATACATAAATATAGAAATATATAAATACAGGGCCTCACAAATGTATTTTTTGAGCATCACAGATGGCAGCAGACAAAAACAAATGCTGCTATCTCTAGTCATCATCTCAGGTTGGTATGTGATGTCCCGTAGGGCCGTAGAGATGAAGAAGGTCTTGGTTAGGGTTGGTCTGGACTCTTGAACCAGCTGCTCATGTCATGCAGGGAAACGGTGCAGCCGTCTCTAGATGGGCTGAACAGGCCACAGCGCGCTCTGGCCTCGTCAGCCTACATGAACTCTGCATCCACATTAAAGCTGGTGTTCGCAGCATATTTATCTTCTCCATATGGCGGTACCACCAGTGATGGTCCAGCCCACGTCAGTGTGATCGGATACAGAGCACAGCAGCCATTCAACCTTCACAGCACCAGTTCATTGTCCAGCGCCCTGCTGACCAGAAAGTCGTTCTAGAACGTCTTTAGTTAAGAGCAGCTGCATCACATCTAACACGACACATGGTGGCGCTGCGAGGAGCAGCCGCCACGTCACAACACTCTATATCCAGGATGCTGTTTTAATGTAGCTTCTTTTCCATTTTCTTTTTAGGTTTAATGCATGTTCATAATAAACTGGTGGACCCAGTGCTCAGCATGAAGGACCAGTAAAGCTGTGAAGACCACTAGAGGTCAACATTCAAGGTCAACTACGGCTGAATACAACCGGACTGCAGCGCGTGGTTCTGGTGCTGTTGGATGTCTGAGGAGCTGTTGAGTGTTTCTGTCACGTTCTGATTGACTCTGATGATAACAGGTCACTGATCAGGTCTCCTGTAGTCCCAGTGAGTTCTGGTCCCAGTGAGTTCTGGTCCCAGTCAGTTCTAGTCCCAGTGAGTTCTGGTCCCAGTGAGTTCTAGTCCCAGTGTGTTCTGGTCCCAGTCAGTTCTGGTCCCAGTCAGTTCTAGTCCCAGTGAGTTCTAGTCCCAGTGAGTTCTGGTCCCAGTGAGTTCTGCTCCACTGGCTCATGTGTGCACCGCCCTGAGTAGCTGTACTTTAACACAGTAGCTGTAATGTCTGCATGATAGGCAGGTTACTGACAGAGAGGCGTCTCTGGACTCGTTCAGTACCGCGGTACCATGCAGGACGAGGACAGACCCAAACCAGTGGGGTTTCTGTTGTGTAGGAGTTAACGGTCAGAAGTCCAAGATGAAGAAATCAGGCCTTGAACCCTGACCCAGATGATCTGGTGTGAGAGCTCATCCCCACTGACAGCAGTCACCTGAACCCGACTCAGCCCGGTTTCAGGACGCCTTCAGTCCAGCTGTGATGCGTCTCATTCGGTCGTTCTGGTTTGTTTCTGACAGACCTCCGCCTGCTGCACGCCGTGTTTCTGGACGTTGTTTATGACTAAAGGTTGCTCTGGCACCTTCTGACCCGACCCGTCTGAACCATACCAGAACCCTGTCACCCTGGAGGCCAGCCTGCAGGTTCTGGGCCAGCCTGGACATCATGTGTAGCGTAGCTCTGCCCAAGGTTGTGTCAGACACGATCTCTGGCATCAGTCGTCCCCGACTGCTCCGACTTCCTGCAGTGGAGGCTGAGTGGTTCTGATCCGGGTTTCACAGACAGCTGATGTCTCAGCCTGAACACTGACGTGTGGTGACAGAGCAGGAAGAGCAGCGCTGCCGATAAGAAAACCTTCATATTGTCCCCTCAGTCCTGGTCCATGTTCAGAGTTCTACGTTGTTCTGCACTGAGCTGATCTGTTCTGTCTTCTTGGTTTTCTTTTTTCTAACGTCACTCCTGTTAGCTGGTCCATGTTTGATCCTCGTTGGGCTTTTTCCACATGTTCTGTAGCTGCTCTTTATTTTCTGGTGACAATAAAAACCTTTTGCAGGAAGTTTTTGCTTCATCAGCGTCTTTACTGTGTTTTAAAGTCAAACGAACACCAACAGCTGGAGTCATCAGCCGACGGCGTGTTGGGTGGAGCTGCTTCTTTCTCTGTGTTGTGGTGCGTTTCCATTTCCATTGATCTCCACAGGGGGGCGTCGTTCCTCAGCTCTGGAGACTCTGGACTCCATCAAACAGTAGCACCGTTCTGCACCGCGTTCATGCTGCTGTTCAGGTTCTGATGATGGTCCAGCTCGGCTGGCCTGAGCGACTTCAACAAGGATGAGTCAGTCGTCTTGTTGTATATAATGCAGAGGTAACAGACGGACTCACCTGGAGCGTGTTGTACCGCGACACTAATGGCACCGCTCCACTGTACCTTGTTGTCACTTTGTACAGCCTCCTGATTGGATGGCGTCGGCCACCTGTGCAGGGCTGTGATTGAATAAATGGGCATCTATGAAACCTCCAGCTCTCCAGGACATTCTGGTTTTTGCAGTTCTTGGTTATAAACATATCCAGTGATCCTGTAATTGAGTATTTCTCTGGTTTTGTACCTTTTAAACAGTATTGACTGAGTGAAGCGGGTCCGTCCTCCCTGACCTGGAACCGTTAAAAACCAAACAGGAATAAAGAAGGTGAATATATCACCTGAAAATAAATATAAAGCATGAAGAATACCATGACGAAGGCAGCTCATTAGAAAGGAGCTATTAAGTGCATGAACACGTTTGTGAGAAGTCATTTACAGATGAACACAAACCACCAGACAGACCCGGTTAACGGGTCCGATGGGTCTTAGTTCAGCAGCTTTTTAATTCAGTTCACTTCAGTGTTATTTGTACAGCGCAGTTCACAACACGTGATCACACAGCGCTCAATCCTCAGCCAGCGTGTTGGACACATCACACATGTTCTCTGGAGACCTGCAGCAGAAGCTCTTTTCCTTGTCTAGGGTTGGTCTGAATGAAGAGAACAGGACTACATGATGAGCAGACATTCAGAGAGCTTCACAGGACAACGGCTGTAGGTCTGGCTTCTGCTGAGGAGGTCCTCGCTGACTTCCTGTAGGTTGGCTGTTCATGGTGCACCAGAGTCTTCATCGTGTCTGTGGTGGTTCATTAAACTGTGAAACACCGTTCTGACTTTTCCAGGCACTGCTTTATTTCATCACAGTGTATTGAGTTAGTAGACACAATACAACATGAGCAACACTTACAGATAATGTCACTGTACAGGGATATGAAAGACGTGTTCTATGGCTTGAGTCGAGGGTAAAACATCGCTGTGTGCCCGGACAGCAGGCAGCCCTGCTGCACATGAGCGCATCATATATTTTTGAGGTTTCTGGGCTGAAAAATACAGCATCTGATTTTGAAGTCTTCAGCTACTTATAAGTAAGTTTATTCAGCGTAATGTCAAAAATACGGAAGTTACAAGAGCAAGCCGCTTGTAAATACATGTAGTTGCCCTTTACAGAGATTACTGAAAGACAAACTCACACTCGTTTAAACACACATCAACAAAACCATTATTTCATTAAGCCAGGATGGGAGCGTTGAAGCTTCGGGGACTGAAGGCAGAAACTACTGGGAGCTACTGGGAACTACTGGGAACTACTGGGAACTACTGGGAACTACTGGGAACTAGTCTACCGTATTCAGGTAGAAGTCTTCAGTGCAAACATAAGATACAGTTCTTCATATTATACTCTGCAATTAATATAGTCAGCGACGCAGCGACTGCATGTGGAAAAGAAGAAAACCAAATATGTTCATTATGCTGTGAATCATTTCTGCATATTCAGTTTATAATATGAATTTAATTCCCTACAGATCATCCAAATAGAACTCAAAGATGTCCTCCAAAGATCAGTATATCTGACCCAGTTTGCTATAATTAAATGTCATAATCAGAATCTGGCAAACATGTCTAACCAGTGTTTCTGGAGAAAAGAGTTTACAGATTATGAAGAGTGTTTTTCATGCTACATAAGACTGTGATCTGAATTCCTTATTTCAAAATAAAGAATGAATGGATGGATGGATGGATGGATGGATGGATGGATGGATGAATGGATGGATGGATGGATGGATGGATGAATGGATGGATGATGGATGGATGGATGGATGATGGATGGATGGATGGATGGATGGATGATGGATGGATGATGGATGGATGGATGAATGAATGGATGGATGGATGGATGGATGGATGGATGGATGGGCCTAAAGTTGAGGATTTTGCTGCTGCAGTGGAATTCTTGTGGTTTTGGTGGCTCTAATGTTCTGGTGGACCTCCTCCCTGCTGTGTAATGAAGGTTCTGGCTCGGATGTCAACAGCTGTACAACGTGTGGACATTTAAAGGTTACATCTAAAATCCTCTACTTGGTTGGTGCACACAAATGAAGGCAAGAAATGCCGATTTAAAAAATACATTGAAGGACAGACAACTACACGACCCATAAACCCATGAAGAGTGGAGAGCGCTACACCTCTGAGCTGCTGGAGGCCTCTGAGAAACAACCAGCAGAAGGTGAACTCAGAACATCAGAGAGGTGAGTCCAGGTGCAACTGGTGCTGTGGAAATATACTTCATACTGAATGGAGGAGGGTCCTTCAAAAGTTCTCGGCCTCACTAGAAAACATCAGAAAGGTTGTTCTTGTGTTGGCTTAACAAGCTCTGCTGTCCCATCTAGAGCCTCCAGACACTCCTCAGCAGCTGCATGACTTCATTTTCATTCTGAAAGTAGCGAACACACAAGTAGGAAAACAGAAGTCCGACGGCGCCAGGCGGGTTGAGCAACAGCTCAAAGCTCATTGGCTGCTTCTGCTTCTGCCACCTTCAGTGTGTGAACATGGTCCTGGAGCAGCAGGACTCCAGCTACAAGCTTTCCTCCCCTTTTGCTTTGATTGCTTCAAACACTGGAGTTTTTGTGGTCAGCGATAGGAGACGTTTCAGTCCACAGGTGTCCCCTAAAATGGGAGTTACGCTCTTTGTTTCCAGGTGAGGCCGCAAACTTTGTGAAGTCCCCTGGCCTCAAGGCAACTGGTAAAGTGAAGAATTAGGAAATCTACTTTTTGTACGGTGATCTGAAGCACTTCCTGAAAACGTGTCTCCAACCAGTTATAAGACAACTTTGGTGTTGTAGAGCTGACCTAGGTATCAGTGGGATGTTTAGGAACTGATCAGGACAACGCTGGAGATAAAGGATTACAGAGTTTGGACTCGTCTTCCACGGACTCGACTCACTTTTGTGTCAATAATCTAAATAATCAACTCCTGTTTTTCAATAGCAATGAAGAAATAATTTGACAAATTGTACATCACTCGTTTACAAGAACATAAAACCAAAATGATCACAAGGTCAGTTTCAACAATGTCCATGTTTGCATAGATTAATCTGTCTTTCATTACGTTAGAAGCTTGTATGAGTTAAAACAACTTCTTATGGAGACCTAAGACATGACTTCTTCCTGAAGTCTGGGTAATTCAATTAATCAGCCAGATGGAGCCTGGGCAACATGGAGACACTGTTATAAGGATAAAGATATGATCTTCTACAGATATATAGGGCATGCTACTACATTTTATTTACCAGTTTCTTTGGTGTATCTGGAAAGGTCAAGAACTTAAAGTCTGCATCTATTTATTGTCGGTCCAGCTGTTCCTCTCATGGTGTCTGCGTTCTCATATTTCCTCTCTGATATTTTAGAGCATTAAAAAAATGTAAAGTAGCATTCACTTGTGTGTTTGTTTTTAATAATACAGCAACAAGTCCGGTGTTCGTCCATTTGTCTGGATCCACAGTTCAAACAGAGCACAGGTGTGTTCGGGCTGAAAGCTGATTCTTTTTCTAAATACTATTTACATAAAATGCTCAGCAGCCGCCAATGAAAAAAGAACGTCATCACAGATATATTCTTTAATAATGGCACAGGTTCATCCTACAGATCTACTTCTATGGTTTGCACATTCATTATAAAGCAAACAAATGATTCCATCCTACACATGTTAGTGGACACAATCCTTGGCTACACAAAAGCCCTCACGCCTTCTGTCCTGAACATGTGAGAGAATAGTAATACAGGGAACTATCTAACAGGGGCAAACACCATCTCACTTTATAACTGATGAGCCTCTCTACCATTGAAGCCACAGCTTTATTGTTTTTGCTAGTTGTCCCATTGAGAAGGAAATGTCTGCAACCCAGGACTGTTGCAGCAGCTCCCTGTGTCAGGAGGTGAGAACTTAATTAGCCAGGACCGCTGAAGCTCACACATGGCATACCCCAATACCTCACTTGCCCCATACCACTAAAACAATGGCCACCTTAGGGCGGAGGGGTGAGCTATGCTGCTAGATGCATGGGCTCCATTGGCAAACTGATTTTAGGGGAGAGACAATGTGAGCTCACTGTCTGATCCATGGGCAAGGGGAGGAATGAAGGACTCCACTTCATCTGCCAAAACCAAGCTGCAGCCCCTTGCCTGGAATAGAAATCAGCCAGTCCTGGGAGGGGAGCTGGCTGAGCCTCGGCACGACACGAAGCCACCGTCCAATGAGCCCACCATGCACTGGGGTCAGCCGGCACTAACTGGTCCTCAGGACGTGGAACGCTACCTCTCTGGTGGGGAGGAAACTGGAGATAGTGGGGACGGTGGAGCAACACCAGCTAGACAGAGCTCCACACAGAGCAAAGGCTCTGGGCTTCTCCACCATGATGACTGAACGAACAAGCCCCCAGCTGAGCGCTGCTGCGTTTGAACTCTGGCTGGGGAGGGGCTTTCACTGTTTTCACATATGTAAATACTCGTTTCTATGTTTGCACCAGGGTCTCCGTCCATGTCCTGTACATATGGCGGAACTGACGATAAAGGATTTGGCTGGTGTGGTTGACACGTCTCTTCAGGATAGGAGGCCAGCTGTCAAACCTCTGGAACAAGGGGCCAGCTCTCTACCCCGTCAGACCTCTGGATGACGGGCTTATGAGCTATAAGCCGCTACCA